TGGTAATTCTAAGAAGAATTCGAAGGGAATTTTCAGAATATATCTAAGATCATGCTGAACCTGATTCCAATACAATTCTCAAGACAAGTCTAGGATTATTTTGAAGGGTTTACCGTGCATATTCTGAGAAATATTTTAAAGAAATTTCACAGAAAATTTAGAGCAATAAACTTAAGGAAATTCTTGGGACAATCATTAAGGATAATGTTATCCCAATAACGATTTAGACAAATTTTGAAACGAACTCTGAGCCAATTTATAAATTTATTTAAGCTGCTTTTGCCGATAGCTAACGCTGACTTCATGAAATGTTCATTTTAAATAAATTTAACTACTAATTTCAATCAAAAATCTTAAACATTGAGGCAATCCTCCTAAAGATAATAGAGTTAAAAATATTAAAAAATAAAAAAAATAAAAAAAGATAAGAAATATAAAACAATCGATATAGATAAAATTGAATATAAGATAAAGTAAATAAATAATAATAATTCATTATTCACTATATTTATAAGTATTTAACTTAAAAGAATAATTGAAGAAAATGCTATTAATTTACATAATGAAGTTGGAGAAAATTCTGTACACAACCTGTGAAGTGTTGAATTAAAATCATCAATGAAATTTAGACCATGATTTTTTTTTTTTTTTTCAAAATTCAAATTCAATAAACTTCGTGGAACTTCAGGAAACAAAATCAACACAAATTTTGGAAGTACAATGAGTGTAGTAGAGCAGCGAACTTAGTAGCAGTTCGAGAAACTTAATTAAACATAAAAAAGTGCAGATAGTTTCGTAAAAAATCACTTTACTTCTTAGAAGTTCGTCATATTGATCAGAAGCTCAGTAAACTTCATCGGAGCTCAATTTTTTTTTAAATAGTTCAGGTAACTTCTTGGGAATTCAAAAAACTTCTTATCAGTTTTTGAGAGATCTTACTCTTTCTGAACTTCTTGAAAGGATCTTAAGCTTTCTGAACTTCCTGCAGAATGGCATGTGAATTTCCATTTTGAAATTCCTGATTTTTTCCTGGTTTTCCTGGCCAATGATTTAAAAATTTCCTGGTTTTAAAAACCATGTTTTAAAAAAAAAGCAATTTTTACAATTTACAATTTGTACCATCATTCTTCGCGCAATGCGGAATTTCACAAACCAAATTAGGTATTAAGGTTCTTGTGAATGCCCGCGCTACTTCGTCGTATCATGACGCTTATTTCCGTTCTATGTGCTAAAACTATAATAGCAAAGCGTTTTCACTCATGTTTTTGCAAAAAAACATGAGTGATTACAAGATTAATTACGATTGATACTGAAACATTTGCGATAATCTGTAAAATGAGGGATTTTAGGGGTGTATGACGAAGAAAAGCTGAGATACGACGGACTAGCGCGGAGCCTTATCTAATGTCTGAAATTTAGAGATCTATAAGGCCCTAAATCTTGAGATTTCTGTTTTTGAAACTGCGATTTTTTTTACTTTATCTCAAGGTGAAATTGCGAAGTGTGATATGAATGAAGACTCTTTGAAAAAAACCTTTGCTTCTAACAATTTTACGGATTTCCAGTTTGTTTAAATTTTCCGCAAATTGTCAAATATTAAAGATCTTATTTAGCGGAATTTTGATTACAACATGATTTCAAAATTATATGATTAAAATATTTCATAAGCAACGCTGGCTTAATAGCTCTTATTATTAAAAAGACTGACTGCTGAAGTTCATAGAAACTCCTTAAAGTTCGTAGAACTTCCCTGAAGCGTTAAGGTCTTTCCTGAAGGGTTCATTGAAGTTTGTATTGCCCGAATTTCATGGGACTTCCCCGAAGTTCGAAGGACTTTTTTTTTAAGATCTTAGGACTTCCCTGAAGTTCGGTGTTTTTTTTAAATTCATAGGAATTTCTAAAATATCGTAGAAGTACCATGAAGTTCGTAGAAATTCTCAGAAGTTCGTAAGACTTCCTTCAAGTTCGAAGAACTTTCTCGAAGATCTGAGGACTTCCCTGAAGTTTGAAGGACTTAACTGAATATATGAGGACCCTAAATTTAGAAGAGCTTCCCTGAAGTTCATAAGGCTTTAGATATCGAAGGGTTTTCCAAAAGTTTGTGGGTCTTTCCTTAATTTCTTGGAAATTCCCTGAAGTTTGGAGAGCTCCCATGAATTTTGTAGGACTACCTGTAGTTCAATCGACTTCTCGGAAGCTCTAGGAACTTTTTTGAGTTAGGAGAACTATGCTAAGTTTATAGGACTTCCCAAGAGTATCGAAGACTTCTCTGAAGCTCGGAAAAAATCCATAAGTGCCATAGTTATCCTTAAGTTTTAAGCAATGCCTAAATGTCGTAGAAGTTACATCAAATCTGTAGAAAATTCTGTAAACTTCGTAGTTATTACCCAAAGATTAAAGGACTTCCCTGAAGTTCGTAAGACTTCTCTGAAATTTGTAGAACTTCTCTGAAGGTTCGGAGAGATTTCCTGATCACAGTAGTTCACAGGATTTTCCTGAAACTTGTTAGACTTTCCCGAATTTTGTAGAACTTGCATGAAGTTCGAAGGCCTTATCTGAAGTTTTTATAAATAGAACTTTTTTATTGAACATGTTGAACAGGTACTTCAAAGTAGTTACGCGTCGGCACTGCTTAAGTCTGCTATAAATTAAGCACAAATCATACATGCAATTGATTCGAGAAAAAAAAAATTAAAAATAAATACAAAATACATTTACTAAATTCTCAGGGTAAATTTTGTTCATCAATGTTAAGTTGTGTGAAAGATTTAGCTTGAACAAAATGGTTAGTTTTGACCTGATTATAAAAAGAAACTTTGACATACATAAAATTTAAAACCTATTTAAATTATACAAACAAGATTATTTTCCTGGTGGACTTATGAAATTCCTGGTTTTTTCCCGGTTTTTCCTGGTGAAAATAAATTCCCGACTTTTTCCCGGTTTTCCTGGTTCACTTGCCATCCTGTTCCTGGGAGTTTGGAAAAAATCCGTTTTATTTCAGGGACTGTTCAGGAATCTTCGTATAAAGTGTAGAGGTTCTTCCGGTATGTTTGAAGAAGTTCATAGCAACATATGTAACATGGATAAAGTTGCGGAAGAAAACTATCTTCACAGAAATCCTAAAGTCATCAAAATAAAGACAGGTCTTCAAATTTGGTATCCCTGGGGAGGGTATTATATACAATAAATTATTGTAGAATTAATTATGCTACAGGCCCATGATTGTACCACAACAAGAAGTTAGCTTGTTATGGCCCATATCTTCGCATTATTATCTATGTAGGCCTAAGTTTTCAGGATATTACCCAGAGTGTGCCAAATGCCTTGTATATCCTTTTTGCGTAAAAAATGCGTTCGTTACTGCCATAAAACAAATTCTCGACATTTTTTTATTTTATTGTGGTCTGATCCAACAAGAAGACAAACTCTTTGAAAAATATTTACAATGACTGCAAAAAATGAACAGAATAATGAAAATCACGAATCCTGGGAATTCCCGCGAAGAACTATTTATATTCCCGTGTATATTAAAAATGCCAGAAAATGGAAACACTAGTTGTAACCTATATAAAAATTTGGCCAAATGCAACAAAACAATGTGTAACACTACCTTCTACGATTTGCATGAAACTTTGTATGGCAATTATTCACATTTGTGCTATAATTCGGTAATTTTAACCATTGTAAATTTTATCAAAACTACGATTTTTGGCATTTTTTTTAATAAATAGTAGCACGAAAACGTCACTTCTGGGAGCGAATGATGGTGATGATGGAGCTGGCTGGGAAAAATTGGAGTGATATGGAAGAGGGATTGGTTGGGTAGCTTTGGATTTTCGGATGTATTTTTGTTGACCGGTGGTCGTATTGTATTAGTTTGCACTTCCGTACGCGATCACTTGATTTTATTGAATAAGGTTTTGCAGACGTTTTTTCTTGTGTTGCAGAGTTGCGTGGTGTGCTCTCGCTTCCCTTTGCTATCCGCGGTATGACCTCGACTACGCAGATTTATTGTCAGGCAATTTTGTCTAAGGCGTCATTTCGATTAGAAGTGATGTTTTCGTGCTACGATTTATTAAAAAATTCGAAAAATTTGCAATGTTCTAAATCGTCGAATTTTATCGAGTCTGATCGATTCATCATTTGGCGTGGAGCTGCTGAGATGTGCCACGTGCTTGATAACCATTGTAATGCATGAACATTTGATGCTAACTAATAATAAGACTTGATCGAAATTTAATTAATGAATCATACTCATCACACAAATGTATGAGGTGTCAAAAACGGTGGGGCAGACCCGTAAGCAGAGATGGATACGGAAAACCTCGGAGAGTAATAGAGTATCTAAAATCAAAGCAATTGTAGAAGAATATTTTTTTAAACTAATTTTTCCAAAATTGAGCATTATTTCAAAATGATCAGAGTTATTTTCCTGAGGATGGAACAAAGAGCCTTTGACACAATTTATATTAGTATGATTAGATATCACTATAGCTTCTTGAAATAGTAAGTAGTGAAATGTAGGTAAGATGAGAAACAATGAAAGATGGGCTAACGTTTATCAATTAATTTGTTGTCAAAATCAACCAAATCAATGCAACCCTAATAATGGTTTGCATTTTCAGAACAGCATTGGGGCTACATTGAACCTGTTGATGTTGACAATCAAATAAATAAATAAATCAAGTAGCTGACCCATCTTGCCCCACCTTACCCTACTAACATTGCAGCTCAACTTAGTTCAACCCAGTGACGCACGATCGGGAGCGTTACTCCTACATCCCATTGCTCCATACCGGCGTAAAACCTTTCAATCTGTTACATCGCATATTCCATCAACATCAATCAAACAGCACGCCCTTCGCTTGAGTAACTCATCGAACAACAGCGGATGCAGGGTTGGGTACCCCTCATGCATCATTATATTGTGATTACTTGCCCCCAATCCCAATTAATCACCCCGGAGGGATGTCATTCATGGCATGATGTGTGCTTACCAATTCTTCCGGCTGTTGTCGTAGGCCGTTGGAATGCTGCTGCAGCTGCTGCTGTTGCTGTTGTAGTTGCTGTCGCGGGTTAGGTGGTGGAGGACCCGCCATAGATGGCCGACCGTTCGATCTGTTCTGATGTGGCACAAAGTTGGGAGGTAGAGAATGCAACTGTTGGCTAGGGGAGCCATTGCCGATTTCGTACATCGACAAAGGCCTCGACTTAATGGGGTACGGGGAACTTCCGTTGTAGTTCCCAGCTGAAATCTCTTGAAACGATGGAGACTGTGAAAGGGGCTTGATTTCGTAGTGCTGCTGGAAGCGCCCGTTTTGACCGGGGCTCTGGCTAGGGTGTGGTAAACTGTAGGAATTGCGGTAACCCGGTTGGTTCCAGTGGGGATTGTTGGGTGTCCCCGGAACACCGGGACCGTTCCCGTTGTAGTGCGGGTGGTGATGTAGAGAGTTTGGGCCATGCTGCTGCTGCTGCTGCATTGCAGCCACACCGATATCCCTCCACATCTTGCGAGCACGTTCCTCGTCTCGCTTCATGCAATTTTCGTTGTATCTACTTGGGGGCTTAGGTTAACTTTCCACTTTGCTAATATCGCGCATGATCTTCACCACCAGAGCTGGGTGAAATCATTTGAAACTTGCACTCACTGGCTGTATCACTTTGGCCTATGCTTTGATGATATTTTCTTGTTGTCGATGTTGATATTTTCACGGTACGATTACACTTGCTTCAAACACACACGCACACACAAAATGGCACTTGAACCAATAGTGAAACCAGATACATGGTAGACGTCGTTTTCCATTCACTCGTCGTAATTGAAGCACTCGGTTACAAATGGATCCGTTGTTCGCTGCCGGCCCGGTTGGAAGTCGATGTAAAACACCTAAATTTCACGCATCGCGTCACACTGGCACTCTAAATGGAAGAAAAAATGACAATAACAAAGTTGAAAAAAAAAAATGTAAAACGCAGAACAGGTGGAATTTCTGTTTCTGTCGCCCGTGGTTTTGCTGCTAGCCAGTAGTTAGTGTACAAACTCTTGCTCCGATATCACAAAACAACCGGCACATATGCTTGCTGGACGTGTTTGTTTGCTGAGGAAGGGCGCGCGCAGCTCATTGCCATTCGTTGGATTTGGGGGACACCCGACAAAGCGCTCGTTAAGATAATATAGAACTTGCCGCGACGGGGTTAATCAACAACGTTACCATCGCTTGGGTTATGAAACTTAATTAGGGTTATCTGATTAAAATTGCGTCGTCCACTCCCGCGCCAATCCGAGGTGTGCCTTCCGGTATCTCCTTCTTCGACGGGTTACTTCAACCCTTTTTCAGGGTACAAGACCGCAGACTAAACGTTGAAGTTGTAGGCTGTTCTGCTTTAAAGCTTCTGAAATGTCAGACGACTCGCTATGGTCGTCTTGCTCGGTATGGCATGATGGAATGTTGCCACGAACGAACAGCTATGGATCATGCAACCAGCGAAGGCGCTTGACCTTCGGACTATTCGAGTTTTAATTTAAATGAAAATGAATCGGATTTCGACAAGACTGGACATTGATTGAGGAAGGCAGCTTTGATTTGAGGAAAGGTCATTCGCTTGCCGGAGGTAATTAAGCTGTGTGATGAATAGCGATGTACGCTTGAGCGATAGTACGTAGGGGACTGATTACTAGGATTCATAGGTGATTTAAGGAAAGGTGCAAAATCAATCATATTGTAGTGGTTGGTACGGAATTATTTGCTAGAAAAACTTTGATGTTCTATATCTTGATCAATGACCATTTGGATCAGTAGCCTTTTTGATCTAATGATATGATATGATAATAGATACGAACGGAATGATTCTACTATAGATGACTTCTAATCTCTTGTATCTTTCCATACGTAACGTTGGATTTGACAAAAAAAAAACATCGGCATCGGAAAAACTCGGCCTTCTCCGATTTGCATGAAACTTAAAGCATTATTCTGTTGTGGACAATCATTCACATTTTTGCAAAAATTCGACCATGTTGGATCTTGCATTTTCTTCCAAAATGGCGTCTTTTATATTTTTCAATAAATTTGAGCACGAAAACATCATTAATGATCGAAATGACGTCAGACACAAAGTTGTAGAGAAAAATAAAGTCGATTTTCAAGTGTCCATGGTTTCAAATATTCCAAAAGTTTGCATTTTTCATAAGCTTTTTTTGAACAAAATTAATTAAAGTTGAATATATGCTTTTTTAAACATTTTAATTTTTATCACTTTTTGGGATTTTTATTGAAAATGAATTAAAACAAATGCTGTGTATATTTTTTTCCAAGATTTTACTTTTCTCAACAACTTAATCTCTGACGACATTTCGATCAGAAGTGAAATTTTCGTAATACAATTTATTGAAAAATGTCAAAGCCATTGGACGCTATTTTGAAAAAAAAAATCAAAATTCAACATGGCCGATTTTTTACAACAATGTGAATGATTGCCCATAACAAATAATTATGCAAAGTTTCCTGCAAATCGGAGAAGGACGAGCAATCAAATATCATTTTTTTAAGCTATTTGACCTAAACCTTCTCAGTGACAAAAGGTCACCTTGGCATGAAATGAAAGGGATTAACGGTCGAATGGAGCAGTTAGTTCCACGCCAAATGACGGATCGGAAAAACTCGGCCAGCTCAGATTTGCATGAAACATTGCATAACTGTTTGCTATGCGCAACGATTCACATTTTTTGCTAAACTTCGGCCATTTTTGATCTTGATTTTTTTTCGAAATGGTGGACCTTTTATCACTTTAAGTTACATTCAACCTTTTAGTCCCTTGACATGCAAAGGAAGGTGAATAAAGAATTGTTTAACTATATTGACTATTTTATCAAAAATGCAGTTGTGAGGATTTTTGTATTAATATTTAAAGTAGTGGATTTATGAACCAGCAAAAGATGTTATCTTCTATTTAATTCCACTAAATTAATTTTGGTATCCATGACAGATACGTTTCGACTATAATGTGCAGTCTTCATCAGTGTCATTCCCACTAAAGAACTTATCAAAATCTTAAGTACTTAAGTACTCATCCCCTAGGTAAAAAAAAGTCAAGGTCCCCTCACATTGCTCAAGCCCAGGCAATGAGAAGGCAGACTCTCTCGCAAAGGTGGACGCACAAAAAGGCGAGATTTATGATAGAAGAATTTCACATGAAGATTTTTTTCATTAGTTCGACAGAGTTCTCTTCTAAGTTGGCAAAACGATTGGACAAGTAATTCTCTTGGGCGGTGATTACATTCCATTATTCCAAATGTTTCATCAAAAGCGTGGTTCAAAGGTCTGGATGTAAGTCGTGGCTTCATTCGTGTGATGTAAAGTCTTATGTCCAACCACTACTCGCTAGACGCACGTCTCTACAGAATAAACCTCGTTGACCGCAAGATATGTAGGTGCAGAACCGGTTATGATGACATCCATCACGCAGTTTGGCATTGTCCGGGTAATGACGCCTCCAGAGCACGTCTATTGGATACCCTAGTGGCCCGAGGTAGACAACCCTTCCGTGAAGTAATTCGAATTCCTTTGTTTGTCTGATGTTAGAGTTTGAGCTGACCATCCCCTCCTTTCCAAACATTTTCCAGCCATTGTGTCCCAGTCTCATTATCCACCTATTTCTGTGTTACTTGCGCCTGCTCAGCAAGCATTTGGTCAACCGTTCAGGAGTAGTATCTGAAAAAGGCTTCAGAAACCTGTTTCCTACTTAGCTCTTTCGAATCGAAATTGTTACCCATTAACCTCGAGCCCGCCACGAGTAATTGGTACCCAATACTAACCTAGAACTACTGCTGTTTAAAATGTAAATGCAACCATTATTAATTTTTGGCTCCGCAAAGTGTCACACACGACTGAGCCTAGTAAATAAACGAACTAGTTAAAAAAGAGATATTGTTTCAAGTATTTTGGAGCAGATTTCATCTAGTAATACAGACTCACCGAGGACACACCTAATCACGAAAGAGTAAAACAAATTTATGAGTAAATACAAAAAGTTCTAGCCTGTCAAAGTGGCCTGGGGTTAAAATAACCCTAAGGGTTAGAGATCTTCAATTTTTTTTCTTGGTCTAGAATTTTCTTAGTTTGGGTCTTTGAAAAATAGTCTAAATTTGTCATTAGCGTGGGATATAAGTGTGTGGATTGATTTTAATGGTGCGGCTTTGCCGCATTTAGCCGCAACTCTACACGAACATGTGAAAAGAGCTAATGAGACTAATGTAAACGAAGTTTTTAAGTCTATTTCTCATGAAACTCAATACGCACACGCAAAGTAACAACACAATCTGATAAAAACTATTACGATAAAACGTGCTCTACCCAGCGGGACTCTATCCCTGACAACTACATATAGATGAACCGTAGTAGCTTTGGCATTTTTGGACAATCTAACCCTTTTGGCAAACTGACAGCGGTAAAACTGTCGAAGGTATGACAGAACAAAACAGCGTACTATTTCTTATTTGCATCGCAGTGCTAGAAAGAGTAGTCTGATACCGTCATCCTAACCGTTATATTCATCACATTGATGTGAGCTAGGACGAATTTGTTAATTGTTACCCCCATGGGTCTACCAGCTGTTGCTTTGCTTGAATTAATCCTGATCCGCGAGTTATCAAAGTTTAAAGTATTTTTTTTTTTACACTTGCATACACATAGGCCCTTTTCATAAGTTGCTCTAAAACCCTTTTAGTCATTTGAGCAGTTCCAATCTACATTGCAAAACGAAAATTATGGTTTGACCTGATTTGCATGCAACTGTGCATAATTGTATATAATGTGCAATCATTCACGTTTTTGCTAAAATTCTGCCATTTTGGATCTTTTAATTTCTTTTTCAAAATGGCTTCTTTGACATTTTTCAATAAATTGTAACACGAAAACGTCACTTCTGATCTAAATGACGTAAAAAAATATTTTTTTTTGCTGGAAAAATATACATACACTGTAAGTTTTGAGAAAAAATTACAAAAAAGTGTTTAATACTAAATATTTAAAAAAAGCCTACAGAAATTGCAAACTTTTGGATTATTTAAAATTATGAACATTTGAAAATTGACAAAAATCGTTCAACAAGAACATTTTGGAAAAAATATTTGAACGAAGAAAACGTCTTAAAATGTCTCATATATTATCTCCTGTGTAGAAGTTACATAAATAAGCGTACAACCCAAGTAACATTTTAAGTTTTATGAAATACTACAAAGCAACTATAAAACAACATTCATAAAACCTTGGTCAAGGCTATTTTGTCATGAATGCATCCACCAAAACCTCATCAAGACTAGAATATGTCTAGTTGGCCCACCCTGGAGAACGTTCTGAAGGGTGTATTCTCGAAGCTCTTCAAGATTGATTTACTGCAAAAGGTTGAATGACGAACGCATTGGGAACCATTTGAAAACTACAATAAAAACTATTTAGCAACAATTAAAACCCTTTCCGAGCCATTTCCCCTAGCCGCTTGAAAAATCCACTAGAAAAAAGCATCAATCAAGATCGAAAAGGATTTATGAATCCGATCTTATCATAATAATTAAAATAGAAACTGATGGTACGAAAATCTCGTGTAATAAATGTATTACAGTAGGTCTCTTTAAGTGGTCTTGTTTTATGTGCCATATTAAATGTTATGTGAAATTTACGTGAATTTAGATTTGATTAATTATTTCACATTGAAAAAATAATAATCTTCACATCGAGCTTGGTTGAGATTTTTTAATGATTTTCGCCTTTAAATGTGCTAAATTAATCAAAATCCTTGCTCAGTGCTAAATTAATCAAAATATACTTATATCCAAGTGAATGTGGATTGAAAACGAAGATTGTAAAAAAACAAGCAAACTAATTGTAACATGGCGGTGGCATAAAATTTGATTTGCATGG